CCCCCCCGGCCCCCAAACGAAACTTCTCTGTTCAAAATTTTCTTTATGGATTCGGGGAGATGTCAGCGAGCGCAGTCCAACCATGTTTTCAAAAAATAAAAATAAAAAAAATTGTCCCACTTTGGGCCCAACCGAAATTCCGGCTGGACCACCGGGGGTCCAACCGGCCCGGTTGGATCCGGCCTGGTCCAACCAGCCGGTTGCCGGCACAACCCTGATCCAGGTGGCCATCACTCTTAGGGATGAGAAGATCATTAGGTAGCCGACAAATTTACGGATGATATGATTATCCCCCGGATGGGGAGGCCAAAGCTGACCCAGTGGCAGTCGCTTGGAGAAATGTTTCAGAGGAGATCTTTCTTCAGTTGTTTTTGCTAAACACACAGTTTGATATGCTATGGCTAACTACTCAGTTTATCTGGGTTACAGGTTCGAAAACAAGTGGCAATGAAATTCTGTTGTAACATCAAAGGAGCTTGAGATCTTTGATGTCTTAAACGTGTGGTGTGCCTCCCTGTAGCACCATTCGGCTGAATCTTTCGGCAAAGCCTTGAAAACTTACCCCAGTCATGAATCATGCGAGCTTGGAAGGTTGCAGGATGTTAGTCTTTCTAGTACCTGTGACGAGTGTGAGGCTGAGGGAGACAGGGAGAGCCGAGGGAGAGGAGAGAGAGAGAGAGAGAGAGAGAGAGAGAGAGAGAGAGAGAGAGAGAGAGAGAGAGAGAGAGAGAGAGAGAGAGAGCACTCACTCACTCGACACGACTGAGGAACTCGACGGACGCAGACACAGCGGCAAAGACACAAAGTCGAAGTCTTGGATTCCTAATGCCGAAACAGGGGCAAGTCACACTGAGTACGAGTACAGCAGCTGAAAACTGGTCCGAGACTGGTCCCCGTACTGTACGCGGAGCCGGTATAAGTACCGGTGACACATACGGTACCAGGGGCATTTCCACAAAAGCCCCGAGGGCAGAACTGAAAAATGCGGTATTTGAAAGTGGCGCCCGAATTGCAGCATGGCGCCAGTTGTCCAAAATCCGACGGTACCAAAGGAGGGGTTTGGAAAAAAAGGGTGCCAGACCGAAAACGGGATGCAGCAGAAACAGCAAAAAGATAGACCGGGGATCGAGCCCTGGCGGAGTCCGTAACACTATCCCCTCCCTCTGAAAGGCAACGTCTCAGCTGCCAAAAAGCCAAGGAAAAGAGCTGTAAAGGACGGGACGGGGCCGATCACTGGTCGGAGAAGGAGAAGGGGAGTGATGCAAGTCACAGGATATTCTGTCTGGTGTTCTGCACAGGTGAAGGTATGATGTGACTGGGTGCGTCTAAAGGGGAAGCTAAGCAATGTTCAGGGAACAGGGCATTTCTATTGATGTTCTAGTGGGTAAGGGAAACAATGGTCAGGGGAACAGGGAATTTCTATTGATGTTCTAGTGGGTAAGGGGAACAATGGTCAGGGAAACAGGGATCTGCTAATGATGTTCTACAGGGTTGTCAAAGTCAGGAAAAAATAAAAATAAAAATGAAAGTGTTTGTTCAGGAGGCAAGGGCTGGTGTGTCCGAAGGAGTCAGAAGCAGAATCTCATGTGGGAACAAGTGTCTTGAAAGGGGATCTGCAGCGGTCTTGATCAGGTCTTGGAGTAAGTGGTAGAAGCGGTCTTCAGCGGCTGCGACAGGTAGAAGTCCAAGAAGCGTAACAGTAGTTCAAATGTCCAAAGTCCAAGTGCTAGGGTGCGTCCATTACACGAACTGCAATGAGGTCTGATCTGGAAGCAAGGAAGTCGCAGACAGATGCAAAGATCCATGTCACAAGTTGCTGCTCCAGTAAGTCCGCGAGTCGGGATGCCGGCCGATGAAACAGCATGGTGGCCAAACCAGCTGCATAATCTCCATGAACAGTGAGGCAGCAGGCCATCGTCCTGTGCGCTTGCCATTAGATCCTTTCTCGCCGGCGCCGCGCAGGTTCATAAGCATTGGACGAGAGAGACAAGGTAGTGGAGAGGACAGATGGGACAAGGCTAGGCGAGGGCAAGGGCAGATCAGACATCAGGAATCGGGGTCGAGGGGAGGGTGGATTGGGTTCAAGGGTGTTTGTAGAACGGGGTTGCGAGGTTGTAACAAGGTTTATACAGGGGTTTAGGGTTGTAGTTACGTGGGTGTCTAGGACATAGGAGTAGCACAATCATAGGCGCGGACAAGTTTCATGGCATTCTTGAGATTCGAGAGAGGTTCCCATGTAGATTCTTCGTCGGGGTATCCTGTCCATTTGACTGTGTATCCAGTGATTGGTTCCGGGTGGTCAGATACCTGAGTAGTTCGTCGACCTATGATCGCTTCAACAACGAATTCAGGGCCTGCGGGTAACATGATAGGTGGAGGTCTAGGATATGGGCGGTCAGCGAATTGGGGTGGGGATTCATGATATTCTTTCAAGTATTCGACGTGGAAGACCGGGTGGACGCGGCTCATGTCGGGGGGGAGTTGGAGTTCGTAGTTCACGTTGGAGGTTTTTTCAATGATGGGGAAGGGTCCGAGCCATTTGTTCGAGAGTTTCTTTGACAATCCATGTTCGGGTTCAAAGCGTTTGGCGGAGAGCCAGACTTTGTCCCCTACTTTGAATTGCAAGTCTCGTTTGTGTTTGTTGATCTTGTTTGCTTATTGTTCTTGTGTTCTTTCGAGGGCTTCGGTTTCTTCTCTGAGGAGTCGATTCATTGTTGCTACCCATTCATTGAGGGAAGGGCAGGGTGTGGAGGGGTTGAGTTGCGAGGGAAGCAGGAAATCAGAGGGCAAGCGCGGATGGTAGCCAAGGTCAAGGTAGAATGGAGACATGCCAGTGGAAGGACCGACAGCGTTGTTGTAGGCAATCTCGGCGGCGGTGAGCAACTGATCCCAGTCGTGTTGATGTGGATGACAGTACTTCCGTAGGATTCTTTGGAGAGTATCGTTCATCTTCTCGGTTTGTCCATCGGTCTGTGGGTGGAATGCAATGCTATACTTGAGTGTAGTTCCGTAGGCGTTGAAGAGTTGTTTCCAGAACTGTGAGAGGAAACGGGGATCGCCATCGCTGATGATATTCTTGGGAAGGTCGTGGTGGCGTGCAACATGGTCGAAGAAGAGTAAGGCGGTGTCTTTGGCGGTGTGCGAGGTGGTGCAAGGGATGAAGTGGGCGCGTTTGGTCAGGCGGCAAACAATGACGTAGATGCAATCATGCCCGCGGTCGGTCTTAGGGAGGCCGCACACGAAGTCCATGGAAATGGACTGCCACTGGTGAGAGGGGATGGGCAATGATTGGAACTTGCCGGGTTTGGCCCGGTTCAAGGGATTGACAACCTGACACGTGGGACATGAGCGAATGTATGTTTTGACGTCAGCGAGTAGAGACGACGAATAGAAGTAGCGGGAGATGGTGTCGAAGGTTTCCTGCAAACCGAGGTGACCTGCGGTCTTGGCGTCGTGGTGCTCGCCCAAGAGCTGGGTACGGAGACCACGTGTGTCAGGGATGCACAGTCGGCGAGTGCCTTTGGTGTCGATGTACAGGAGGTTGCCGTGGAGGGAGTAGTCGGAGACTGGGTCAAGATCGCGGAGCTTGTTGTAAATGGTGGCGAAGTCTGGGCAAGAGAGGTAGCCTTGGGTGTATCGGTGATGGAGTGATGGGAGGAGCTAGATGTGGGTCATGGCGGCGTAGACTTTCTCGGGGGGCTTGTGGTCGGGTCGTCGAGAGAGGGCATCAGCGACACGGCTGCTTTTGCCAGGGGTATGGCAAATGGTGAATGTGAACTGGGCAAGGAAGTCGAGCCATCGAGCTTGGCATGGGGTGATGTCTATCTTGGTGAGGATGGAAGAAACGATGGTGTTGTCAGTGCGGATGGTGAAGTATTGCCCGTTGAGGTATGGACGTCGGACTGTGAGGGCGTGAATCACGGCGAGGAGTTCCTTCTCGTTGAAGGGGTAATTCATCTCCGCGGGAAGGAGCTTCTTGCTTGCGAAGGCGATGGGGTATTCGTCGGGTGGAGCCTCGGGGTGAGTGGGTGAGTCCTTGATGGCGGGGGTCTCAGCAGTGTCGCGGGGGAAATGTTGGGACAGTACGGCTCCAATGGCAAAGTCGGAGGCATCAGTGGTGACATAGAAATGGCGAGTGGGGTCGGTGATCTTGAGGACAGGGGCCACGGTGATGGTTTGCTTGAGGAAGTCGAAAGTGTGCTGGCAGCGATCGTTCCAATTGAAGGGCTCGTCCTTGCGTATGAGTTCGTGGAGAGGGTAAGAGATCTCGAAAAAGTTGCAAATGAATGGGCGGTAATAGTTGGCAAGGCCGAGGAAGGAACGAAGTTGGAGGAGGGTCTTGGGYGGGGGGTACTCGACGAGGGTTGTGACCTTCGAGGGGTCCATACGGATGCCTTCAGCGAAGACAATGTGGCCAAGGTATTCGACGCTCGAAGCGGCAAACGTTCATTTGCTGAGCTTGGCGTAAAATTTTTGCTCTCGGAGGATCGAGAGGACTTGGCGAATGTGTTGAAGGTGAGACTCGAAGGTGGGGCTAAGGATGAGGATGTCATCAAGGTACACGACGACACAGACTTCGAGGAGGTCACGGAAGATGTGGTTCATGGTGGACTGGAATGTGGCGTGGCATTGGTGAGTTTGAAAGGCATTACGAGGAACTCGTGCTGCCCGAACCGAGAGCGGAATGCGGTCTTGTGGGTGTCCTCCTCTCGGATACAAATCTGGTGGAAGCCACTGCGGAGATCGATCTTGGTGAAATATTTGGCTCCACGGAGGCGATCAAGAAGTTTAGATATCCGGGGGAGTGGGTACTTGTTCTTCACCGTGATGTCTATGAACATGCGTAGTTCCGAGGTGGCGTTCTTCTTGACGAAGAGGCAACTGGTTCCGAAGGGGGAGGAGCTAGGCTTAATCAATCCTTTTTCAGGAGTTCATTGAGTTGGCGCTTCATTTCTTCGGCCTCCGGGACGGAGAGTTGGTACGGAGGGCGGCAAGGAGGAGAATGATCGGGCTCGAGATCAATGGTGTGGGATACACCTTGATCGGGAGGTGAACCGGCGGGCAAGGACTTAGGGAAGACGTCCTTGAATTCAGAGAGGAGAGCGGTGATGTGAGGATTGGAAGGGGAGTTTTGGTCGGGTTTGTCCGTTGGAAGCAAGTCCTCGGGACGCTCGTGGTCGATAACAAAAAAATAGTAAGCGGAGTCGGGGTGTTCACGAGATATGTGAAGGAACTGGTGAGGGGAGACAGGGGGTGGGGTAGAAGGGGGGAGAAGGTAAGGGATATCAAGAGGAGAGTCAGGAGGGCGGGTGAGTCGGACGAAGGAGGGGTGGAAGGAGTAGGGCATGAAACGGTCAAGCCATGGAGTCCCCAGGGCGATGTCGCACATGAGGTGCATGACATTGAAGGAGACCTGATTACGAAGAGGACCGATAGTCATGAGGGTCTCGGGGACAGTGCAATCAACAACGATGGTTGAGTCCTTATCCCCTAGTCGGATGGTGATTGGGGAATCATAGCCGGTGGAAGAGAGGTCGGCTTTGCCGACACAGGCTTCGGTGATGAAGTTGTCGGTGGCACCAATATCAAGGAGGGCCCGGAACTTCCCCGTCGATGCGCCGAGGGAGACGGCGATAAACTTGAGCTGGAATCGTGCGGTTCCGGCACAAGCAAAAGAGATCATGGTGTTGAGGCGGCGTTGTTCCAAGCCTAATCTAACAAGCCGATCGTGTCGTGCTTGTTCCTCAACGAGATCGGAGAAGGTGGTGGAGGAGGGGTTAGGAATGAGAGTAGAAGAGCAGGTGCTAGTGGGGAGCTCGACCGACGGGATAGCAGAAGTCGTCGGGAGGGGGGCAAGCGGAGTAGATTGCGTCGCTTGGGGGTCGTCCAATGGGATGTGCATCACCGGGGAGGGGGTAGGCAGACAGATAGTCGATGCCAAGTGGGCCACCGGTGGAGGAGAGATCGTCACCGATGGGCGAGCCGACAGACAAGTGGTCGATGCCGGGGGAGGGTTGCAAGAGTCAGGGGGACAATGTTCAGGTGGAGGAGGGTCCGGATGTCGTGGTGGAGGGAGAAGTGGAAGTAGAAGGGCCGGGTCCCGCGGAGCGAGGGGCCTGTCGAGTAAAGTGGCTAGCGTTGGGGCAGTTGGTCTGTTGATGACCTAACTGGCGGCAACGAAAACATTCGTTGTGTTCCTGGAGGTATATGGGTTCTTCGGGTGTGAGTTTCTGGAGACGACGGGGTGGAGAGGAAAAAGGCGGTCAGGAGGCACGAGCCTGGCGTTCCATCCGCATAAGGTGGGCGGCCTGGAGGTCCTCAAGGGTGAATTAGGAGGGGTCGGGAGAGGCAGTGTCAAAGTCGTCATTGGAGGTGGATGGAGTGGTGTCGTCAGGGGTGATGTTATGGAAAAAGCGGGGGCGGGAGAGATCGGGTGTGGATTGGTGATGGGGGTGGAGGAGTCGATCGTGGTGACGCATGCGAGAGAGGAAGTCAGCAAGGGGCATGTCGAGTTCGTGGGCAAGGGCGGTTGCAAGATCTTTGTCGCATACTCGCTTGATGCGGGAGATGAACGCAACGTCGGGAATGATGGTGGTGGGGAGGTGATAGCGGAGGGAGCGGATGTATTGGACGAAGCGGTCCGTGGGACCGGTCTGGCGGAGGTGACAAAATTGTTCGAGGTAGTCATCGATGGTTTTCTAGGGGCGGAAAGTGGCAGTGAGAAGGTTGGATTGGAGGAAGGAGTGACGCGGTCCTCCAGAGGCGTGGCGGTTGCTGACTTCAGCCATCCACCGTTTGGCGGATTTGTCGAGGAGGCGGGAGGTGGCAATGGGAAGCCAATGGACAAGGGGCATGTGGTGGACCTTGAAAGAGTTCTGGAGCTGGGTAAGGAAGAGGAAAACGTCCTCGTGGGGAAGGCCGAAGAAGGGCATGATGTCGGCGGATCGGAAGGAACGGGGGATTTCCCCCTCGCGGGAGACGATCCGGGCGAGGGTGTTGAAGTTGAGGTTATCGGGGGTAGTGTCGTAGCAGGTGTAATCGAATTGGTTGTTGTCGTCAAGGAGGTAGTTGGGGGGAAGTTGTGGCATTGCGGGGTAAGCCCCGAAGGTGACTTGGGAATAGGTGGGACGGGGGTGGGGATGGTGGAGATCGTCATGATGGGTTGTGATATAGTATGGAAGTGCGGGGGGGGAACAGGCGTGACGTGGTTAGGTGAGGAATGAGGCGGTCTGCTGGAAGCGCCGGATGAGGGGGGGGAAGGGTGGAGGAGGCAGAGGTGGTGGATGTGGTGGTAGAGGTGGTAGAAGTGGAGGAGGTCGGCAGGGGGGTGTGGCTGGAGGCGGCTGTGGACGTGGGGGTGGTGGTGGTGACCACCTGGATGGAGGGTGTAGTGGTTTTGGGACCCGAGGGCGGTGGGTGTGGGCACGGTCGTAGAGGTGGGTGTCCTGGTCGTGACCACTGTGATTGTCGGGGTTTGCTGCTCGATAGAGGTCACACGGTTGGATAGGCCAGAGATATTGGTTTCGATTTTGGTGATGGACGCGCGGATGTCCATTTGGAAAGAGGACATCATGCGAATGAGGGTGGCGATATCAGTGGCAACGGGCTTGGATCTTTGTTCGCCCGTAAGTTCGCGAGCGAGGCTGTCAACAAACTTGGTGTTGACGGCGGTCATATCGATGCTGGAGGATTGGGCCATGTTGGGGGAAGATGGAGTGGATGCGGTGGCTGAGGCGACGACTGTGGATGAGATGGAGGCAGACGTGGCAGCAGCGGCGGCGGCGTCGACGGCTGCGCGTTGGGAGGTCTTGGTTTGGAGTGGTGGCATGTGGAGATTTGGGAGTGGCAAGGGGTGGGGGTGGGGAGGGTATTTACAGCATTAATTGATTTATTAAAAAATAAGTAAAGGTATTTGCCAAAACAATAAATGAATAAAATGGGAATTAATTCAAAATAAATTATTCCGATTTGGAGTAATTTATTTCAAGAATTCGGAAAGGATTTCGTGGGAGAAAAGTTGGAAACACGAAATTTTCCGGAATGAAATAGATGCTGAAAATATAAAACAAAATAATTAATTTTGAAAAAATAAATTCTGGTTAAATTTATTCGAAATGAATTTTGGGGTATGAAAAGCGTGAAATTTCAAAAGGAATTAAGTAAAATATTCCCGAAGTTCGAGAATTTATTAAAATATACGAGAAAAGGAATTAAGTAAAATTATTTTTGAATTTGAAAAAAAAAAAAAAAAATTGAAAAAAGAATTTAATTAATTCTAACGTATTTAATTAAGAAAGGGGCATGGCCGCGCGGCCGTGCAACTTCGCGGCCACGTGGCGGCCAGTGGGGGCGGGCGAGCGGGGGTTTGGGAGGTAGATTGGGGTTGTGCAACCCCAGCCCCATGATAAGAAAAAGAAAAAGAAAAAAAAAAAGTTAAAAAAACTACGCGTTTTTTTTTTTCGTTGTTTTTTCTTCTTCCGTTGATTGATTGATTGATTGATTGGCGGGGGAGGGGCCGCCCCCCCCCCGCCCCACCCGCCACGCGCGCGCGCACACACGCACACACACACACACACAAGTGTGGCAGTGTATATTTCCATGTTCTAGCAGAAGATTCATTTGATTTTGCTCATCCTATCGATGGACGTAGCGTGACAGCAGCCGCGGGGTTGGAGACTTACTTGTTGGCCACTGCGTTGCTCATCCT